GAGGAGGAGGAGGAGGAGGAGGAGGAGGGGGGAAGAGAAAGGGTATTTGCTTTGCTTAGAAAACAAAAAAGTTTATTTTTAACAACGTTTTAGAAATAATGACAAAATTTTAAGACACGCAATGTAATTTCTAGTAGGGACACTTCTTCATTGCTAGTGATAAAATTGCACTGGTTGCTCTCATAAGGGATTGGTCTTTAAATATTTTTCCCATTTTAAATTTTATTGCGAAAATATATTTTCTTCATCAAAAACACCATAATTCTTCAATATTGGAAGCTTGAAATTTTTGTTTGGGTGTGAAAATTAAAAGTTAATGATTGATTATAATTAAAATCCTTTGAATATTGATAGTTGTGCTTAAACTTTAGTTCAAACATTGTTTAATAATTTGCTTTAAAATTTTCAAAACTCCATTGTTGATTTTTAGAAAGTATTGAAAGAGACAAAGTGAGTCTTCTTAATTTAGTGTTACTTGACTAAATGATGATTGGGGATCACTTGTTTTGCTATTTGGAGGATTTATTTCAGATTTTCGATCATTTAGAGTATATTTGTTGAACAATTAACAAACACACAATCATACCAATTGGATAGAGTTTGTGAATAATTTAACAAATAGGTCGAATGTAAATAATACAAAGTCATGCCAATATGATAGAATTTGATGAACAATTACAAAGTCAGCCTATCGGGTAGAGTTTGAACAGTTAACAATACTGGTAGAGTAAATATAATATAAAATCTACTAATAAGTTTGAGAAATCCCTGACAAGCAATAAGTATGTGTGGATCGGAGATCATTTTCTAGATACATTAATAAATGGGAACAATATCTAAAAACCTGCCCTTTATAAAAAAAAATTACAGAAATATAATATTTTTTGGGAGTGGTCTTTCACTTTTGACCCCACTCACCTCATGGGTAGAACTTCAAGGTCAAAAATTAAAGGGCAACTTTTATTACTAGACAAGATTTAAAAAATTATTATAAATTTATAGCAGCAAATCCATAATTATATGGATAGCAGATTGTATAGCAGAAAACTGATCCACACCCATTAATCATCACCATTTTCCATTCATTTTGCACATTTTTAGGGACACCATACTACTAAACATAAGCAAATGCTATTCAAATTTGTTCCGTCCCCCTTTCATATGAGAAAAGCTCCATTGTTTCTTTCATTTTTTCCTTCCAAAAATATGCCTCTTGCTTAGTGTTACAATTTCTTTTTATAATAATCTTATACTATCACAAGCAAAAGCAATATTCTGATGGTTATACATTATATGATTATAGTATGTGTATTTAAGTGTGAATCAAGATAAATATAAATTAAAAATACCAAATATTATAATTCACAAAAAATACGTGGTATATATATATGAGCTATAATTATGATTTATACAACAAACGAGATCTAAAAAATATTATTAATTATACTAGAAATATATATAGTATATAATATATTCATTATATATTTATGAAATAATTTATGGTATATAGCATATCTAATTAGAAATATTTAATTATATAAATAATACAACAATGATATAATCTATATGTGTTTGCGCATATTTATTTTAGCTAGAGCATATTCTTGGTATATTTTTGGAATATATAAAAATACATAACATATCATTCATAATATATTTATGAAATAATGAAGGAGCCATTATGGTCACGTTGAAAAACATACAGATGGAAGAGGACAGGGGAGAGATTGAATGGAGTTGTAACACCCCTCAAATTTATAAAAGTTTCAAGATCCGCTAAATATAGAATTTTTTTTTTTATCTTGCCTAAAGTGCATAAAAATTATACTTCTATTACGGATTTAAACCCTTGTGATTGATTTTTGAGTTTCTTCTCTATTTATAAAGAATTGGATATACAATTAGGGGATTATTAATAATTTTAATGTTAGTAATTTTTAAAAGTGGGTATCATTAATTATTAGTTAAGGCAAAACAAAACAAAAAAAATAATAATAAATAAATAAATAAATAAAGGCTTAAAGCCTTGGAATGGTAAGAAACGTATTTCTTTTAAAAGGGGCAAAAGGCTTGAAAGCCTTAATCAAAACACAACTAAAAACTCTGAAGGTTGAAAAGCCTTATAGGAACAAGACAGAAGGCGTAAACTCACGCAAGCCTCATACGGAAAAGAGAAACAGAACGAGAAACAGAGGCAGCAAGACTATTTACGCAGACAACAAAAAATTTAGGGTTCTTCACAAATCACTAATTCTTGAACTCAGGTATATAAAATTCCCTATTGTCAATTATCCTAAAGTAGTAGTAGGTAAGAATTGAATAGTTAATTACCTTCTTCCTCTGTATCAACAGTAAGTTCCATGTTTAGGTTAAAACTATAAAATTAATTCAAATGTATTGGTTGTTGTAGAATTAATTGTTTGACGGGTATAAATTCGACTGGGGCCTACGTATTGGCTCAAGGATTTTTGAGGTGAGTTGATATAATCCTTTACTAAAGTGGTTTAACTCACAAAAGCACGCATACAAGGTGTTTGATGAATTGCTTAAAAGAGTTTATATGTACTTAATTGGAGCGAGTGAGTACCTATTAACTTAGAATTGTTCTAGCTAAAGTTTAGAATATTTATTATGATATATGTGCATAAATTTTTAGATTTTTGTGTTATTCTTATATGCCATTTTCATGTTAAAAATTCATGAAGGAGCAAGAATCTTTAGATATAATTTTAAATATTTATTTCATTCTTATGCCATACATTACATTTAAGGATACCAATATGAGTATGTATAGGATGTTTCAGAAAAGATTTAGACTAGAAAAGTTACAAGAAGAAGTTTTAGAAAGAAAAGATTTTTGGGAGTATCCTCTATTCTGAGAAGGGGTCATCGTCCAGGCCGAGGGTCCTGATCAAGGCGTTGACTTCCTGAAACTACTTGTGCCAAAGTAGGGAGCACACGAGCCGAGGGTCTCGTTGCTAAGAATTTACGAAGCTAAGGTATGGTACATGAGTGCTGAGAACCATGAAACGAGTGGCACCTCGTGGATTGGGCCTATTCGATCAGGTTGGGATCGAACCCGTGCCGATCACATGGTGACTGAGACAGAATTAAGTCAGGATAGTTGGAACTCCCGAACTATAAAGTGAAGTATTTTTTTAGAAAGAAAATGAAAAGAATTTATTTTAGAATATACATAAACTGCTATTATGCAATTATTTTAGAATTGTTCTTATAAGCTTTATGTTTTACATGCATTTAGAATCTTTGCTCGTAATGTATATGTTATTAAAGTTTCGTCCCTTGTCGTTGAGACTCACTGAGTACAATGGATGGTACTGACATTCTCTTTTGGGAACCTACGTTGGTCTGCGGTACAACGTAGGAACCGGTTTTGCAGGCGAGCAAGCTACGGGTTAGGACTTCCCTCACTTCCAGTGCTATTGGTGAGCTCCGCTTTTGTTCGTGGAGTACTCCTTAGAGTCATATTTATTTAGTTATTTCTTTGTTCACTTAGAGAACTGGCCAGAAAATCTCATGTCCCTGAGCAGTGCGTCAGTTTATCAGTAGAGGCTTCATAGACATAATCGGTGGGTTAAGATTCAGATGTTTTTGATAATAACTTAGCAGTATTTCAGTAGTTACTACGAATAATGTTTTGGAGTTGATTTATTTTAATTATTTAAATTAATCAAAAGTATTTGGTTAAAGTATTGCCTTGTTGCATATAAAGTTTGAAGTTATAATAGATTTGATAAGCACAGATGGTTCGTTCAGTCATGTTTAGTGATCGGGTGCTGGTCACGGCTTGTTCAGAAAATAGGTTGTGACAAACTTGGTATCAGAGCCTCAGATTTATAGAGTCCTAGGGGTCTATGAAGCCGTGTTAGTAGAGTCTTGTTTATGGGTATGAAGCGCGCCATACTTATAAACAGGAGGCTACAAGCATTTAGGAAAAGTCTCATTTTTTTTCATACTTTATATCGTGCAGTATAGCCTACCTCTAAGAAATTATTTAATGTATTCGTTTCTCCAAAACTCACAGAAATTGCTCGTACTCACAACTCTGACACCGACACTCAGGATGCTGCTCAAGAAACTATTGCTACTATTATGGCTCAAGGTAGAACTAAGAAGGCTTCAACTCAGAAAAGAAAGGGTAAATCCACAAAGGGGGTTGAAGTACCTCGGTTTGAACATGAAGAAGGGGTGGAGCATGATGATCCAGTATCTCAGGATCCAGTGCCGCCCCCAACAGCAGCTCAGACAGCTATATCTCTAGAGGTGGGTCAGATGTTTAATGCTATCAACAGTGCTATGGAGATGTTTAAAGCCTTCATGGCCAACCAGAACGAGAGAAGAGATGAGATTCCACCTCAATCAAATAGATAGAACAATTCTGAGTCCTCAAGAGTGAATAAATTTTTAAAGTTGAGTCCTTCATTGTTCCATGGTTCTATAGCTGATGAAGATCCAATGTTGTGGTTGGAGGGTGTCAAGAAAGCCCTCCGAGCGATGAAGGCATTTGATGATGAAGCTGTGGAGCTGGCTGCTTACCAGCTTAGAGATATGGCTGGCGCTTGGTTTGAGATGTGGGAAAAGGAAAGAGATGAAGATGATGGCCTGCCTACTTGGGAAGAATTTGAAGAGGACTTCATGGCTAACTTTATCCCGGAAGAGGATAGGGAAGCTAAGGCTACAGAGTTCGAACAACTCAAGCAAGGGAATAAAAGTGTGCAAGAGTACTACATAGAATTCATAAGGTTGGCTAAGCATGCTCCTCACATGGTTAAGACAGAAAAAGCAAAGATTCGCAGGTTTGTTGGCGGTTTGGCTTACCACATTAAGGATACGACATCAGCTGCAGCGGTAGGAATGACAGCTTTCTCCTCTGTTGTGGGATTCGCCAAGCACTTAGAAAGAGACACACAACAAAGGAGAGAAGAAAAAGAGCAAAACAAGAAAGTCCGGACAGCGGGCAGGTTTAATGGTACATCCATTAGAGGTGGAAGGGGTTCCTCTAATAAGGAGTCATTAGCACTAGCTCAGTCCAGTCATCATCCAGGTGGTGGGTCTTCCTTTAGATGTACTCAAAGTTAAGAAAATCAGTCTCGCCAGAATCAGAATTTTAGGACAACATCCTCATATAGCCAGAGTCATGTTGAGCAACATTCACAACAACAAGGTCTTTGTGGAACATGTAAGGGTCAACATTCAGGTCAGTGCAAGCTTGGGTTTCATGGTTGCTATCATCGGAGACATTGGTAAAATAAAGGCCAACTGCCCAAAGTTACGACGTAATTTCAGTGGTGGATCAACTTGTCCTTCTAGTTCCTCAGCTACTACAGTTGCACCACCACATGCTCGTGGTTCTTATAATCAGGCAGGGCATGGAGCAGGTAGAGGTGTATATCGAGTTACTCAAGGAGCGGGACAACCCCGTTTGTTTGCTACACTTGATCGTCAGAGTGTAGAGGCATCTGCAGAAGTTATTAGAGGTATACTTCTAGTCTGCTCACATAACGCTTATGCCATAATTGATCCAGGTTCAACATTTTCGTACGTGACTCCATACTTTGCAATTAACCTCAGGCTAGAACCTTAACAGCTTAGTGAGACATTCTTAGTATCTACTCCAATTGGCGAGTCAGTGAAAGTCACAAGAGTCTATAGAGGTTGTATAGTTTCAGTCCATGGTCGCAGCACCGAGGCCGATCTCATAGAGTTAGAAATGGTGGATTTCGATGTGATCATGAATATGGATTGGTTATCTTCCTGCTATGCCATATTAGATTGTCGTTCCAAGTTAGTCAGGTTTCAATTTCCAGATGAAGAAGTCTTAGAGTGGAAGGGTAGTTCAACATCGCTTGTAGGTAAGTTTATTTCTTACCTTAAAGCACAACGAATGATCAGTAAGGGGTGTCTCGCCTATTTGGCTCACATCATTAATCCAGAATCAGAACCACCAGCTCTTCCGTCTGTGCCAGTTGTTAGAGAATTCCCAGAAGTTTTCCCAGATGACCTTCCCGGACTTCTTCCTGAAAGAATCATAGACTTTGGCATCGATCTCATGCCAGGAACTCAGTCCATATCTATACCTCCTTATAGGATGGCTCCATCAGAACTTAATGAGTTGAGAGAATAGTTGAAAGATCTTCTTGACAAGGGCTTCATCAGGCCGAGTGTTTCACCGTGGGGTGCCCCGGTCCTGTTTGTCAAGAAGAAATATGGGTCTCTCAGAATGTGCGTTGACTATCGGCAGTTGAATAAAGTTACCATTAAGAACAAGTACCCACTTCCAAGAATTGATGATTTATTTGATCAACTTCAGGGTGCAAAGTACTTTTCAAAGATAGACTTGAGGTCGGGGTACCATCAGTTGAGGATCAGAGAAGAGGATATATCTAAAACAGCCTTTAGAACTCGCTAAGGGCACTATGAATTTCTAGTAATGTCCTTCGGGTTGACAAATGCTCCAGCTGCATTCATGGATCTCATGAACAGAGTTTTCAAGCCATTCCTTGATACCTTTATTATCATGTTTATAGATGATATTTTGGTATACTCTAAGAGCAAGGATGAACATGTCGAAAACCTCAGGATAGCCTTGCAGACCTTGAAGGAGAATGAGCTTTATGCCAAGTTTTCAAAATGTGAGTTCTGGTTGTAGTCCGTGGCATTCTTAGGCCATGTGGTAGCTAGTGAAGGCATAAAAGTAGATCCTCAGAAGACAGAAGCAGTGAAGAACTGGCCTAGGCCGACAACGCCAACCAAAATCTGGAGTTTCTTGGGGTTAACTGGATACTATAGAAGGTTTGTAGAGGGATTTTCCTCACTTGCAGCTCCATTAACTAAGTTGACTCAGAAAGCAGTTAAGTTCTAGTGGTCAGACATTTGTGAGCAGAGTTTTCAAGAGTTAAATAAGAGGTTGACCACTGCACCTGTGTTAACCTTGCCGACAGGTTCGGGTGGATTCATAGTGTATTGTGATGCCTCTTGAGTGGGTCTTGGTTGTTTTCTTATGCAAGATGGAAACGTTATTGCTTATGCTTCCAGGCAGTTAAAGAATCATGAAAAGAACTACCCCACTCATGACTTGGAACTTGCAGCAGTGGTGTTTGCATTAAAGATATGGCGACACTACCTTTATGGCGAGCATTCTGAAGTGTTTACAGATAACAAAAGCCTCTAGTACATTTTCAAGCAAAAATAATTTAATCTGAGACAAAGAAGGTGGCTCGAGCTATTGAAAGATTATGACATCAATATCCTTTATCACCCGGGCAAAGCTAATGTGGTAGAAGATGCACTTAGTAGAAGTCAATGGGTGTCTTGGCCCATCTTGCAGTACAAAGGCGATCTTTGGGTCGAGAAATTCAAAAACTAGCAAATGAAGGGATTAGATTGGATGAGACCGAAGAAGGAGGTATAACTGCTTATGCCTTAGCGCAATCCTCCCTTGTTGCGCATGTTAAGGCTAAGCAAGACGAAGATCCGTACTTAGTGAAGTTAAAAGAAGGAGTCAGAAACAAAGAAATCACTGTTTTCACTCTAGGAAGTGACGGAGTTTTAAAGTTGAATGATCGGTTATGTGTGCCTGATGTAGATGGTCTTAGAAAGGCCATAATGGAAGAAGCTCACAGCTCGAGGTAATCTATCCACCCAGGTGCTACCAAAATGTATCTGGACTTGAAAGGGCTGTATTGGTGGAAAGGCATGAAGAAGCAAGTAGCAGATCATGTGGCTAAATGTTTGAATTGCCAGCAAGTCAAAGCCGAGCACCAGAGGCCTGGTGGCCTAGCTCAAGATATAGAAATACCACAGTGGAAATGGGAGATGATTAATATGGATTTCGTAGTAGGTCTACCTCGCACATACCGTAAGCATGATTCAATTTGGGTTATTGTAGACCGACTGACAAAGTCCGCGCATTTCCTACCAGTAAAGATGATAGATTTCGCAGAGCAGTATGCGCAATTGTACGTCAAAGAAATAGTCCGATTGCATGGTACTCCAGTTTCAATCATATCTGACAGAGGCCCTCAGTTCACGGCGCATTTTTGGAAGGCATTTCAGAAAAGATTAGGTACCAAGGTCAATTTGAGCACCGCTTTCCATCCATAGACCGATGGCCAGGCAGAAAGGACCATTCAGACACTTGAATATATGTTGCGGGCATGTGTTATAGATTTTGGAGGTAATTGGGATGGTCACTTGCCACTTATAGAATTTGCTTACAATAACAGCTATCAGGCCATCATTGGTATGGCTCCTTATGAAGCGTTGTATAGGCGAAGATGTAGGTCTCCAGTGGGTTGGTTTGAACCAGCAGAGGTTCCATTGATTGGTCCAGAGTTTGTTTGTGAGGCCTTAGAGAAAGTCCAGCTAATCAGAGAAAGACTGAAAGCGACTCAGAATCGTCAAAAGTCTTATTCTGACAAGAGGCATCGTGACTTAGAGTTCATGGTTGGTGACAAGGTGTTTTTGAAAGTTTCACCAATGAAAGGAGTTATGAGATTTGGTAGGAAGGGTAAACTTAGTCCTAGATTTATTGGACCTTATGAGATTATAGAAAAGAAGGGAAACATGGCTTATGAGCTAGCGTTGCCCGTTGAGTTGTCCTCTGTTCATTCTGTTTTTCATGTGTCTATACTTAGAAAGTACATTCATGATGAGTCGCATATAATACCTGCCGATACCATAGAAATTAAAGAAGGCTTGACTTATGAAGAGGTACCTATAGAAATTCTCGATAGGCAAGTAAGAAAGTTGAGAACAAAAGATATAGCATCGATAAAAGTTTTGTGGAGTAATCATGATTCAAAAGAGGCTACGTGGGAGGTCGAGGAAGATATGAGGAAGAAATATCCATATTTATTTGAGGAAAAAGGTATGTGAACCTAAGTTTGGCTTGGCATATATATTTTATTTATTAAATATAAGTTAGCATGTGTTTATGTCCTTGCTAGATTACACTTAGTTGTTGAAGTAATTTAGTTTCTATCAGAGTATATTTAGTTATTTAATAATTTAGTGACATGCCAGAGTATATTTAATTAATTAAAGTTATTTACTTTTTGCTGAAGTGTTGTGCTTTAGATTTTGGTTGGTTATTGTGGTACCTCCTTGCCGGAGTGTGAGTAATTAGTTTATGAGCTGTGTATGGTGCCTACGAATGGCATGTTATGGTATATTTGGTTGTTGTTGGTATAGTCGTGGTATTGGTGACAGGGATATTTTTGGATAGTCCAATTTACAAGAAAAACTCTGCCGAAATTTTTGAAAATTTAGGGAGTTAGCCAAAATTTTGAGTCCCTTGGAAGAGTGAGTAGTGCTAAGAAAACTTAAAAAGTTCAAGGACTTAAGGAATGATTGTTAGCTTAAGAATAGGGCCCTAGCAACATTCGAGAACGAATGTTTTTAAGGAGGAAAGATTGTAATACTCCTCAAATTTATAAAAGTTTCAAGATCCGCTAAATATAAAAAAAAAAATTTATCTTGCCTAAAGTGCATAAAAATTATACTTCTATTATTGATTTAAACCCCTGTGATTGATTTTTGAGTTTCTTCTCTATTTATAAAGAATTGGATATACAATTAAGGGATTATTAATAATTTTAATGTTAGTAATTTTTAAAAGTGGGTATCATTAATTATTAGTTAAGGCAAAATAAAATAAAAAAAGAAAAATAATAAATAAATAAAAAAGGCTTAAAGCCTTGGAATGGTAAGAAACGTATTTCTTTTAAAAGGGGCAAAAGGCTTGAAAGCCTTAATCAAAACACAACTAAAAACTCTGAAGGTTGAAAAGCCTTATAGGAACAAGACAGAAGGCGTAAACTCACGCAAGCCTCATACGGAAAAGAGAAACAGAACGAGAAACAGAGGCAGCAAGACTATTTACGCAGACAACAAAATTTTTAGGGTTCTTCACAAATCGCTAATTCTTGAACTTAGGTATATAAAATTCCCTATTGTCAATTATCCTAAAGTAGTAGTAGGTAAGAATTGAATAGTTAATTACCTTCTTCCTCTGTATCAACAGTAAGTTCCATGTTTAGGTTAAAACTTTGAAATTAATTCAAATGCACTTGTTGTTGTAGAATCAATTATTTGACGGGTATAAATTTGACTGGGGCCTACGTATTGGCTCAAGGATTTTTGAGGTGAGTTGATATAACCCTTTACTAAAGTGGTTTAACTCACAAAAGCACGCATACAAGGGGTTTGATGAATTGCTTAAAAGAGTTTATATGTACTTAATTGGAGCGAGTGAGTACCTATTAAATTAGAATTGTTATAGCTAAAGTTTAAAATATTTATTATGATATATGTGCATAAATTTTTAGATTTTTGTGTTATTCTTATATTCCATTTTCATGTTGAAAATTCATGAAGGAGCAAGAATCTTTAGATATAATTTTAAATATTTATTTCATTCTCATGCCATGCTTTACATTTAAGGATACCAATATGAGTATGTATAGGATGTTACAGAAAAGATTTAGACTTGAAAAGTCACAAGAAGAAGTTTTAGAAAGAAAAGATTTTTGGGAGTATCCTCTATTCTGAGAAGAGGTCATCTTCTAGGCCGAGGGTCCTGATCAAGGCGTTGACTTCCTGAAACTACTTGTGCCAAAGTAGGGAGCACACGAGCCGAGGGTCTCGTTGCTGAGAATTTGCGAAGCTAAGGTATGGTACATGAGCGCTGAGAACCATGAAACGAGTGATACCTCGTGGATTGGGCCTATTCGATCAGGTTGGGATCGAACCCGTGCCGATCACATGGTAACTGAGACAGAATTAAGTCAGGATAGTTGGAACTCCCGAACTATAAAGTGAAGTATTTTTTTTAGAAAGAAAATGAAAAGAATTTATTTTAGAATATTCATAAACTGCTATTATGCAATTATTTTAGAATTGTTCTTATAAGCTTTATGTTTTAAATGAATTTAGAATCTTTGCTCGTAATGTATATGTTATTAAAGTTTCGTCCCTTGTCGTTGAGACTCACTGAGTACAATGGATGGTACTGACGTTCTCTTTTGGGAACCTACGTTGGTCTGTGGTACAACGTAGGAACCGGTTTTGCAGGCGAGCAGGCTACGGGTTAGGACTTCCCTCACTTCCAGTGCTATTGGTGAGCTCCGCTTTTGTTCGTGGAGTACTCCTTAGAGTCATCTTTATTTAGCTATTTCTTTGTTCACTTAGAGAACTGGTCAGGAAATCTCATGTCCCTAAGCAGTGCGTCAGTTTATCAGTAGAGGCTTCATAGACACAGTCGGTGGGTTAAGATTCAGATGTTTTTGATAAAAACTTAGCAGTATTTCAGTAGTTACTACGAATAAAGTTTTGGAGTTGATTTATTTTAAATATTTAAATTAATCAAAAGCATTTGGTTAAAGTATTGCCTTGTTGCATATAAAGTTTGAAGTTATAATAGATTTGATAAGCACAGATGGTTCGTTCGGTCATGTTTAGTGATCGGGTGCTGGTCACGACTTGTTCAGAAAATGGGCCGTGACAGGAGTCATTTGTATGAAGGAAAGAGAAAACGAGATTAGGTTTTGAGGGGATAAATGAGAATAAGTTAATGATCCATCCCTTAATTAGTGATTTCTTAATTAATGAATCTTTTAAAATATGTAGGCAATAAAAGGTATGGGATTTTAAAATATGCCACAATTGTAAATGATTTTGCTTTTTTTGGAATAAAGCAAAAGTAATACTATTTATATTAATAACTCTTTAAAAAAGATCTATCACGTAAAAAACTCAAAATTAAAAGTGTTGTCCATGGGGCAAGTGAAGAAATACTTGTTGAACCTGAAGTTCTACCCATAGAACAAGCAGAGACAAAAATTCAAGACCACTTTAGGGCTATTTGTGTACTTCACCCCCTTTACGGGGCCATTTCTATCAATCATGAGTAATATTGGCCCAATTATCAATGGAATTGGACTGAAGCCCAAAAGACAGAGGGTTCATCTCAACCGTCCAAGCATACCTCTCGGAGGCCGTCAGATCTAGGGCAATTTCTGAAGATCGGTGGATCCAGAATTTTGGGAAGATCGGTGCACTACTACAAAGAGGTGGATCTAGTATATAAATTTTACGAGTTTAACCTTTTATTTTTACTATTACACCCGGTACTTAATTAATACATAAAAAGTGACACCAGATATGCCCATCTTCTGTGGGCACTTAGTTCTTAAAAAAAGGAAAAAACAACAAGATTGACATAAGGTTTGAACTTATAATCTCACATATATAGATGCATCCAATAACCATCACATCATATGATAAGCTTAGATGCACACACGTATATTTAAGTATTTTTGAGAAAATATAACATTACTATACATGATCTAGGGAGGGGAGCATGGGTTAACGTGGCCCATGGACCCTCCTAGATACGCCCCTGGAAATGTTATGTTGGCAATCTAAGTGAGCATTTCTTTTTGGCATGTTTAACTGGATATATTTAGCTTGTTGTAGACTGCTAGGTGTTTCTCAGACTCACAGTGAGGCTAAAGCATCTATATTTCTCTTAGTAGGAGCTTTATTATTCTTGAGCTAATCATACTTTTAATATTTTCCCTTAATTGTGCCATTCTTCATTAAAGTCCGTACTTTATTTGCACCTTGCACTTAAAGCCCTAATGGATTTCAACACTTTTCGTCATTCTTTGCCTTTGATAACACCAGTTAGTCTAACATGAGTATGAGTTTTTTATATAAAATGTGCTTTTTAAAGGTTGTGATTGATTGATTGGCCATTTTCCTTTGTTCTCCCAATCCACATAGCTCCAGGGGAAGCTACACTTTGGATGATTGACTCCTCCTTGTGACCTTGTTAATAACTGAGTTCAGATCATCTCTCATAAGTCATAACTCCTTAGCTTTAATATTAGGTATTCTTTGGTGAGTCCTAACCTTTAATTTACCGGTGCACATAGAACCTTTCTCACCTTTCTTTAGTGATTCATTGGAAGATCTGTGCATCTAATCAAAGAAATGACTTGAAAGACCAATTGAGCAAGTGCAGTGGCAAAAATAGTACATGTTAAAATGGTTTTTGTTTACCCATAGGCCATAGCTGACGGTTAATTCTGCCATTAGAGCAGGAGAATCAGGCTAAAACATTTAAGATCTTGTTTTGTTGATCCTCAAAGTTTGATAATGTTCCCTTGTTCAAGAGTCCCCATGCTAGAAGTGACTAGCTCCATATTCCATAAGAACTGTGAACGCCACGGTTAGCTTTCTGGTGGCTTTCTTTGTTGAATGTATGGTCATAAAGTTGTGTATTGGTTACCCGGACGGCTTACGACCTCAGTTTATAACTGGCTTATTGTACAATTTATTTGAGCATGTAGAGCAATTTACTAACATCAGCAGTTGGTTGTTTTGTAGATCCCTCACTTGAGACCAGCTGAGTACAAGAGATCTAGATTATCTAGGAACCGGAGGACCGTGAATCGAGCCTATGGTGGTGTATTGTCTGGAGGAGCAGTGAGAGAGAGGTTTGTTCTCTCTTGATATATGTCGCCCATTCAATGATATTTGTTGTCCCGGGTTTCTCATCATGTTCCCGTGAGTCATACATGAGCGATGTTGGTTTTCAGGGTTATTCGATCTTTCTTGGTGGAAGAGCAGAAAATTGTGAAGAAGGTTTTGAAGATTCAAAGAGCCAAAGAAAAGGTGGCACTTAAAAATTGTGAGGTGTTTGGGAATTGTTTGCTTTAGTTGCTTATATTATGAATCAAAATGATTATTTTTACTGTTATTATCTCATTCTAGATAGGTCTAGTTTTTCACTTGTCATAATTCCTCTAAAATATAGGATTGCAATTTTACTGTGCTTGTTAAGAAATGTTAAGATCAAATTTAACATTTGTTATGACGTAGCAATATCGGGGAAAAACATTAAGCGCAATTGGTTGGAATCTACAAGCTGTGACTGTTTTGGCCGCTAAGATAGAATTATTAACCTCAAGTTGTTACTTACACTATGTTATGCCAAAGAGTTTCAAAAAAGTAAACCAAGTGAAATTTGTATAAATTTCAACCATTGGAAATATCTGGAAAAGCAGTATAGGAGATGAAAGAGAACATTGTTTCGGCTAACGAGTCCAAAGACGAGCTTTGGCTCTTTAAAAGGGTTTTTCTGGCAAGAATTTGAATTCTATGCTTCAAATTGTCATCGATATATTGAGTGAGGACTAAGTTACACACAATATATCGATGACACGGCACGCACTCGTGTTGGCCTCACTTTCTTGGAATTTATGGCTTTAGTTTTAACTAAGTTACAATCCAGTGACTGAGAGTACGTAACTCGAACTATCACGAGTTCATATTTCAGTAGTCGGGAACTCTCAGCATCTCGGACAAATTCGGGACAATTTTGTGCTCTCGTATATCACTTCCCCCCACCCAAAATTGTTATCAAATTTGAGTAATTATGCACGAACTTTCATTCGTTATTGTTTCATTAATGAAATAAATAGTATCGGTATTGTTGTTACCAAAAGCTGGGGAAAAAAGAAGAAAGCGAAAAAATTTCTATCCGTGTAAAAGCCACTTACTTCTTTCACACAAATTTAAGGATAAAACCGAGTTTTTAGCTACAATTATTTCTTATATAGATCTAACTTTGTCCTTTATATATAACCTTGAGATTTTTTTGTCCCTTAGCCCAAATGGAAACCTAAAAACTAAAGTTGGTTTTACAGTCACCTGCACAACCGGTGTAGTGAACCATATTCTACAAAACTAAGGAATCTGATTTGATAAAATTCACGGGAGCGTTGTTGGGATGGATTGGAGAACCTGGAGATGGGGAAAGTAATTTTCTTTTGTTTCTCCCTCTGTCCCTCGACTAATCTCTTTCAATCAAAAGTTAGAAAAGAAAATAATAGAAAGCAATTAGAGTTGCTGCTAAAGGAAAAGGGCTTGTTTATAAGCAATAAAAGGAAGAGGTGGATATAGCTCCAAAATGATTTCTGATTTTCTCATAATGCCTTCTTTTCTCTTATACACATGGCCCTTCGATCAATTGCTTACTAGTATTAAGACTTAATTATTGTATGGCTTTGTACTGTGCTGAGTCAGCAGTCAACACTATTATGTAGTAGTTAGTTTAGTTGTATATTTGTACAACATTTTATACAGTTGTCATACGTGTACATATATACACATTCTACACTAATGAAAAGCAGTAGAGTTTCATTTTACAAATCACTCGTTACCTTTTCTCTCTCTCTACTCTCTCAGAATATTTGAAAACCTCCATTGGAGCTTCTCTCTTAGCTTGATTTCTCCATTACTGTGTTAATCTCGATATGATATCAGAGCCCGGTTGAACACATTTGCTCGAAGTTTACCCGAATTCCTTTTTCAGTATCTCAAAATCTCTTTTCCTCTGTCGTATGCAAAGGTTTCAGATTCGTCACTTCGATCTAAAATTTTTCATGCGGATTGAAGAATTTTCAGTGAAATTGATCTATCTACTCACAAACTCGGTTGATATATTCGTCAATTTCATCGATTAGAGCTTTTCAAATGGCTATCGATCAAAGCGAAGAAACGACCCAAGTATGAGCAGAAATGACCATCCAGTTATCGATGTGAGCAGTCCTTTGTACATTCACCTTTCGGATAGTCCTAGAGTAATGCTAGTGCCGGTTCCATTTGATGGAATTGGGTATAGGTCTTGGATAAGGAGTGTATTACGAGCCCTATCAGTCAAAAATAGTTCATAAATGGGGAATTTAGGAAACCTAGCCCTAATTCACCTCAATTTCGTCAATGGGAGAGATGCGATGATATGGTGATCTCCTGGATTCATAATTCCCTCGCGAAAGAGATTTCTGATAGTGTCGAGTATGTAAATGACTCAGACGAGCTATGGAGGGAGCTGGAAGATCGATATGATCAAACAAATGGGGCCAAGCTATATCAAATCCAAAAGGAGATCAACGACCTTGTTCAGGGCTCATTAAACATCACTGCCTACTACACACGAATGAAGAGACCGTGGGAAGAATTAAACATCCTGAGTGCTAAGACTCAATGCAGTTGTGTTTGTACGTGTGGGTCAAAGGAAACGATGCATAAAGCAGAATAGGATCGACGACTCATTCAATTCTTGATAGGCTTAAATGAGGTCTATACACAAGTGCGAGGAAGTATTTTGATGATGAAACCTCTGCCATCTATGGCGCAAGCCTTCTCCCTCCTAATACAAGAAGAGAAACAAAGGAAATTCAGGCCGAATAATCAATTAAACCTTGAGTCTGCTTCACTACATATGAATGCCACATCTACACAACATCAAAATCTATTCAGAGCTAGGAACTTCAAAACACACTACACTGCAAACAACAGGGGTTGCCCATTCTGTTACTATTGCAAGAGACCAGGTCACACAAAGGAGAAATATTACAAGTTACATGGGTATCCCCAAGGAAACTCGTACAACAATCAAAGCTACAATCACATCAGTGCTCAACAGTTCAATCAGGGTAAGAACCCAAGTCAGACTCAGGGTCACAAGTTCAATAGAGGAAAAGGAGTTGTGGCAAATGTACATAGAGTTCCAGCTGATTGACTTCATGAGAAGGAAGATGATTCAGTTCCACATGATGAGAATCAAAGTGTCAACCTAACAAGGGAGAATTATGGGCAGATAATGAATCTGCTGCAGCACTTTCAGACAGGCAACGCAGGAGGTTCCTCGAGCAATGCCAACATCACTAATGCTGCTGTCAACTTCGTAGGTATTGTGGTCTGCACCTCTTCTATTGATTTTGACAAACCATCATGCAAATGTTTTGAATCAAAGTCTGACCTTTGGATCATAGACTAACTCATGAGCATCTAACCATATTACCTTTAATAAAATAACACTTAGCAATATCACCACACTACCATATCCTTTATTAATCAGCTTACCAAATGGATATAGGGTGAAAGTGCTTGAATTTGGAGATGTGATAATCAGTCCTGAAATCATCCTACACAAAGTCCTCTATGTTCCTTCTTTCAAATACAATCTGATCTATGTCTATTCTCTTGCAATGTATCTTAGATGTATTGTACTCTTTACTGATGCATTGTATCTATTACAGGCCCCTTCAGTGAAGAGGCCTCAGGTGATTTGTAGTAGCAGGGATGGACTATACTACCTATGTTCCAGGTGTCAAAAGGGTAAAAGTACCTTCTCAAATACTGATGTATCAGTTTCTTGTTGCAACTGTTTTTCTTCTAGTAGTGTAAATAGTGAATGCTTTAGAAGTTTCACTCATTCATATCATCATTCACCAAATGTAAATACATCCACGCACAATAATAAGAATGAGTTCTCAGCGGTGTTTGATAAGTATGATGTGAACCTTTTGTGACACAATAGGCTTGGTCATGTTCCCTTTGTCAAAATGAGAGGAATATTCTCTATACCTATACATTTCTTGCCCAAACAATCTTTCATTTGTTCAATTTGCCCTATGGCTAGACAAACCAGACTTCCATTTCCACAAAGAACTAATACCTCTACCCAAATTTTTGAACTGCTGCACATTAACATATGGGGTCCCTACCATGTCACTACTCATGATAACTACAAGTACTTTCTCACACTAGTGGATGACTTCAGTAGATCCACTTGGACACAGTTACTAAGCAGTAAGAGCAATGCTCTACAAACCCTCAAAGCCTTTATAATCATGATTGAAAATCAATTTAACACTTCTGTTAAAACCATCATATCTGACAATGGACTGGAGTTTACCAGTCGTGAAGCTACTACATTCTTTCAATCCAACGGCATCATTCATCAGAAAACTTGTCCCTACATACCACAACAAAAAGGGGTAGTGGAGAGAAAACACAAATATCTCCTAAAAACTGCTAGGGCACTTATGTTTCAATCCAAATTACCGACTAGATATTGGGGAGAATGCATTTTAGAAGCCACCTACCTAATTAACAGGTTACCTACTACCTACCTAAACAACAAATGTCCTTTTGAGCTTTTGTATCATAAGAAATCAAATTATTCTCACTTGAGGAATTTTGGTTGTCTTTACTATCCTACTATACCCTAGGTACACAAGGATAAGTTTGAACCCAGAACAACTCTTCATGTCTTTATAGGATATCCTTTTGGGACAAAGGGTTACAAAGTACTAAGCCTAGCCACTAGGAAGATACACATCTCTAGAGATGTCATGTTTCATGAAAATATCTTTCCTTTTGCTATAACTTCTAAGAATATTTTCCCATACAGTGTCTTCAAATCAGTCACATTTCCTACTTGCAGTGAAAGTGAAAGTCCACTTCTTGATGTCCAAGGTGCTGCAGACATCACATCTCCAAGTGTGCACCAACACCCTGAATTCTCTCATGTTAGTGACACTTCAACACAACCTAATACCTCATCCCCTTATGGTTCTGTACCTTCATCTCCATATGAGGCTGCTAGCCATAATTCACCCACATCTACTAAATCAGAAACAACTATAATCAGGAAGTCCAATAGAACACACAAAACTCCTACCTACCTCAAAGACTATATATGCACCCTTCCTAATAGAACTCAACCAACTACCTCTCAATGCTCACCTTCCTTAAATGCATTCTTCTCCAATCATAATCATATTATCCCTGATGCTCTATGTTCTGAAAGTCAGCACTTAGTGACAAATATTTGTCATGATAGCGAGACATCCTCATACGGAGAGGCAACACTTAATCCTGCATGGCAGGCAGCCATGACACAAGAGTTTGAAGCTCTTCATGGCAATTATACTTGGGATTTAGTTCCCTTACCATCTGGAAAACATGCAATAGGCTGC